AAGCTCATCTTGGCAGAGTGTTGTGGTTACCATGAATCATGTCTGAGTTTCTGGTCTGTTTTTCTTCACTCTCTGGCCAACTTTGTGTCCTTGTGGCTGAAGTGTGAGAAACAATGTTTAATGTTTTACTGAAATGCACACAAACAAACGTGGCAAAGTGTGCAGGCTTCCCTCTGTCCAAGAAATGAAAGGTACCAATAGAAAGGAAAGACTTGCATTTATATAGCCTCAGAATATCCCACTGGGCTTTATGTCAATGACCTGAGCTTTTATGAGATGTGAAATATACCGAAGCCATGAATAAACAGTTTTACTGCCATTTAGTCTGTGCTTGTCAGCCTGGCTTCCTGTTTCTGTTGCTATTTGATTTTGATAGCTGCTCTTGTGTTAACTCGAGTGAAACATGAGTTATTGGAATTTGCACATCGTAGATTTGAATCATAAATATATTATGCAATGGGTTAAGTTCACTGAGATTGCGGATAGATTTGTTCAGCTAGTTACAATAAGCTGAATGCAAATCCTTGAGTATCTATCCTATGAGCTGTGGCTATTGAAGGTGATATTTCTCGGACTGTGAAGGTGTGGCTGTTATAAATATACAGTTAGCAAAACTAACGGTCAAGTTATACTGAAAAAATTTGAACTGTTGAATCACATTGTAAGTGTTGCCCAAGGATTTGTGGATGTTTTATACCAGAAAATCACAACAAGCTGCCATTGACAATAATCCCTTAATATTGGAAAGAATAAACAGTTCTTTCACTGATTTGAAAGAATGCTATTTTAGATACTAAGCAGACACCATAATCAAACCACCTTAACAAAACTGTTTAAAGAGAGTGGTCTATTAACTGCCACTGAATCGTACCATGATACTTATGTTCCTTTTGCTATGACCCACTCTGCTCAGGTGGTGGTTTCCTGCTGCTGTGAACCTTCATGAGCATTAGTAGAGCTCCCTCTTCTCTGAACCGTCAAACAATTCCACCTGCTCCAGCTCAGCAATGTGAGAACACTGAGAAGGTTCTGATTGCAGCCATGGTGATAGTGGGTGCAGTGTCATGTCAGTAACCCAGACACCCAGGCTTTTTCTTTATATCCATTCATGGCACATGGGCATCACTGGCTCAGTCAGCATTTATTGCCCAGAGGGCAGTTAAAAGTTAACCACTTTGCTGTGTCTGGGATCACATGTAGGCCAGACCAGTAAGGATCGCAGATTCCCTTCCCTAAAGGACATTAGTGAACCAGATGGTCTTTCCCCCAACAATCAACAGCAGTTTCCAGGTCATCGTTAGACTCTTAATTCCAGATTTCTGTTGAATTCAAATTCCACCATCTGCCATGGTGGGATTCAAACCTCAGTCCCCAGAACATTAGCAAGGTCTCTGAATAAATAGTCCAGGATAATACCACTAGGCTATTAGATCACAGGCCAATGTTCTGGAGACAGCTGTAGGTGAAATTTGAAATGAATTCATAAAGTTTGAGCTTGAAAACCATCAATGATTATTGTAAAACCCATCTGATTCATTAATGTCCTTAGGGAAGGAAATCTGTTCTTACTTGGTCTGGCCTCCAGCTGACTCCAGACCCAAGCAATTGTCCCTTGAAATTGGTGACCAAGCCACTCAGCTCAAGGGCAATTAAGGATGGGTAACAAATCCTGGCCCTGCCCAAAGATGCCCACATCCTGTCGAAGAATTTTTAAAAACTGTCATCCATACCTGATATCCACTTTCCATCAGTATTGCTGTTTTCCTGATTGGAGGGTTGGGGACTGGATTCTAGGCTGACCCTACTCCCAAGCACAAGGAAGCTGCAGTGTCACAGCATTATTCAGAGATTGGGGCAGTTAATTCAGAAACTAGGATCTTGTCTGACAGAATGTCTAAGAGATGGGTTGCTTGAGTTAATTGGGAAATTAAACTAAAGATTGTAAATCCGCAAAGGCAACTATTTAGAGAAATAGACAGGGGTAGAGCAGTTACAGACTGTATTAGATGAAAGGAAGAGACTTGTATTGCAAAAAAGATGAGTAGTCCTTAGGATTTGGAGATGACAAAATAGTTATTAAGATGGTGAAAGTCGAACATGAAAGTAAACCAGCAAATATGAACACAGGTTATACGAGTTTTCCAAGTGTGAACATTGGAAGAAGTTAGCAAAAGTAAACTTGGTAAACACAGGAGAAATTATAAAGGGGGATAAACACAAGGCAGAGACATTAATCAATTATTCTTTCCTTACTGGAATTTTTTTAACACAAAGGGCTGTTGATGCTGGGTCATTAGGGATATTCAAGCTGAGATAGACAGATGTTTATTCAGCAAGGGAATCAAGAATCATTGGAAAAAGGCATATGTGGAGCTGAAGATTACCAGAGCAGCCATGCGCTCGCTGAACGGTAGAACAGACTGAAAGGGTCAAACAGCCTACATTTGCTCTTACATCTCATGGTCGTATGACAAATTAACATAAATTGTGGGGAATCAGGGGCTATTAAGAGTGAGGAACTGAAAGTAGGTAACATTTAGTGAAGAAAAATGTAGTACTGGCAAAATTTAATTAAAAGCTAACAACAAATCCCTATGCCCTGATAACCTTCATCCCAGGGTTTTAGAACATGTGAGAAGCTTTATTCAGCAGATTGGACCAAGGTTCCAGTTTTCAGTCTTTCTGTGGAAGTCTTGAAGCTTTCTCTACAGCCAGTGTGTCTAACTTGAGTCTGGTGTGGGAGGATATGTCTGCCCCATTGCTAGTAGAGGTCCTTATCCCTAATGAGGAGTCACCAAATTCAAAACACTAACTCTGTTTCTCTCTCCACAGATGCTGCCAGAACTGCTGAGTTTCTCCAACACCTTCTGTTTTGTTCTTTATCCCACACGACAAGCCTGAGAAACAAAGCTGGCTGTGTTTATGTGCAGATTCCCAGTGTTACACTCAGTACCTGATGGTGGGACCTGACATCAGGAAGGGAAAAATGCCCCTTAAAAGCCAGCCCTTGCCTTTTGATCCCCTTGTCGCCCACCTCTTTCCACAGCCCTCACCCCTCCCTCACTCACCAGCAGCCTGGGTTCCTGACTGATCCTGTGCCTTGGGCATGCAGTGCTGGCAGCTACCACCACTCCCTCGGTGGGTAGTGAAGAGCCTCAGGCCTGTCATTGGCCACTAGCTCCTAGAGTGTGGAATTTATTTGCCTTTACTGAGGGTTGGCCTTCCCCAAAGGAGGTGATGAAGGTTCCTCACCAACTTTGTAGATTATTTTCTAATGAACCTGATCAAGGATGTTGTGACACACCCCTAGGGCAGGCGGGGCTTGAACCTGGGTCGTCTGGTCCAGAGGTAAGGACACTGCCAGTGTGCAACCAGAACCACCACTCTCACCAGCTCAGTATCAGTAGGGTCAGACCACTGCCGCTTGGATGAAGTTCCAACCTTGATAAAGGTGTCCCCTGAGGCAATTCATTGTGAAGTGACATGCCAGAGGCAGATTGTGTTTGATATTATTCATGTGTCTTTTTGTATCTGGAAGATTTTCGACATTCAGATATACTAAAATTCAGGATGACCTGGATGCCTCTTTCTGTCTATCCCCGGATGCCATCTCTTACCCCCACCCCCCCCCCCCCCTTGCTCCCTCTCCTACACCCCCCTCTCCACCTTGATCCCCATGCCCGCCTGTATTCCTATCCCCATCTCCACCTCGATCC